TATATTTATAAAAATGTCTGGAAATATAAACTGCTAATAAAACTTTTAAAAACTATGATATATTATCACTTTTAACAAAAACATATTCTTTTTAATAACATTTCATTATACTCTTTTAAGTTATATATTGCTGGGATCAGGGCTATTTATTACATTAGTAAATAAATGAATAAAGAAAAGGAAGTAGGCAGAAACTAACAATGATGTCACAAATCAAGAATTAAAAAGACAAAAAGTTCCCTTTCTTCTGATGGTTGTTAAGTGCCGTTGCGTTGGTTTCAACTCATAGCAACCCTGTAAAAGATTTCCAAGGAACCGAGTTAATGGCACTTAACAATAGATGATACAAACCCGGACCACTGTAATTACTGTGTTGTAGTTGTTTTCATGTGTCTGTGTATCCCACTTAACTGAGTGTTCAAGGAGGGCAGGGCCTGTGTTTCCATTGTCCTTATGTCACCAGCATTCACCAAAGTGTCTGACACATACTAGGTATATTGGATGAATAAAATAAGAACTACAAAATTGATTCATCCAAGAATTTCCAAGCAACCACAATAGTATGTCAGAATAAACCTGTGTATAACTGAACTAAGAAAATAAAATAAAACATACATTCTTGAATTGATAGTCTTATTCTTTGTCTCTACTCTGAGGGTCTTTATATTTTACTTTTTAATACTGAATATTGTAAATAATTTCATTTCCAAATGGTCACCAAATATCATAAGAAGTCTCTAAGCTTAAACTAAGAAGTTACATCAGTCAGAAATAGTCTACACTATCCTATTTAAAATATTAAAGAAGCACAGAACTAGACTTAAGCACACTGGAACTTCAAAGGGTTCATGGAAACATTCCATTATCTTTTCATCCCATTATTCCACAAACTTTTTGAAGCCCTCTTGTATAAGAAGAAATCTATTAAATAGTATTTTTAAAAAAGCAAAAAAATATAAATTACTTTGCCTACAATTTTTAACATTGGCAAACTTTTACAAAACATCATTACATATATTAAGAATGGCATAATTAAAATTTCTATAGCATGAGGGGGCCTCCAAAAGTTTGTGGAAAAATGAAATAGATTTTTCCATGAAATTAAAAAAAATTCCTTGGTGGAGTGGAAATGGGAGCCACAGGGAGGAAGTAGGATAACTGCTGGAAAGGACTGCACAACCATGGTCCTGTGGTTGGTAGTTCAAACCCACTAGCCGCTCCTTGGAAACTCTATATAGGGTCACTAAGAGTCAGAATTGACTTGATGGTGCCTAACAACAACAACCACCGAGAATGGTGAGTTCCTCTGTATGCAAATGGTTAACACGCTTGGCTGCTAAGCAACCTCAGAAGACAGGCCTGGTAATCTACTTCCAAAAACGTAGCCATTAAAATTGCTCCTCAGCACAGTTCCCCTCTGACACACCCGGTGGACTGCATGCAGTTGTTGGCTAACTGAGAATATATGATTAGTCAATGTTAATTTACATTTTACCATTAAATTCTCAATTAAAAAGGTATTTGCTATCCAAATGTGTATGAATAAGAGTTCAGAGAAAATAAACTGTTAAAAAAACAAAAAACTAAGAATTTTGAGGTGTTATATAACACTGTTTATTGTAAAAGCCACTTTTAGTTTATCATCTAGCTTTACTAACAAAAATGCTATCTCTATTGGAATTTCTGGCATTTCAACACATCTGTATAACTACTTGAAATAAGAGAGTCAACTATGCCTGTTATAGAGTATCTTGTTTCTGTTCCTTCTTCATGGGAGTAGGAGATAGGCACAGCAACTGGGTTATTTTCACAATGTATTAAACAAGGGCCGCAGATAGCTGAGCTGGATACTGCTATTGTGAGAAGGACGTGCTTATGTCTAGGAATTTGGTTCTTAGAATCTGTCCCACATGCTCTGCCTGCATGGAACACAGATCACTGATGTACTAGCTCACCTAGATTGTTTGTAAAACAATGTCATTTATAGTGAACACCTGCTTCCCTTCTGGGCTGGAATTTTGGTAGTAGTGCTGGTCACACAAACAGACAGTGCTTATATGATCAACCCCCAATAAAAACCCTGGAACTTTAGTCTTAAATCAGGCTTCCCTGGATGGAAACACTGCATAAGTGCCACTACACTTAATTGGTAGACGAAGGAGCATGTTTTTGATGTGGCATCTCTGGGGAGGAAGAATGGAATCCTATATGTGGATTTTTCCAGACTTTCATCTTTTTCTGTGCCATAATAACCCATAGCCATGCTTATAAATAAAGTGCCTTTGAATCCTGGGCATCCGTCTAGGGTGTGATCAAGTATACAGGTGGTTGTGGAGAGTAATTCATAAGTCTTTCATGTACAAAGTCTTAAGAAGTAAACAAATAATAATCTGGTCATCTATGGAAAAATGAACAAAAATTTCATTACGTAAAGTTTTAGATTGAAATGGTGCTTTACTTGCCAACTTTTATTTATGTATGCATGCTTGTACTACATAGGAAGGAGCCCTGGATCAATACTGGACTGTTAACCACACAGTCGACTGTTCAAACCCACCAGCTGCTCCTTGGAAACCCTATACAGGTTCGCTATAAGTTAATACTGACTCAATGGCACTTAACAACAACAATAACAATTATACAGGGAACCCTGGGTTATATGTAGAGCTGCTAACTGCAAGGTCAGCAATTGGTATCCACCAACATCTCTGATGAAGAAATAGGAGGCTTTCTCCTCCCATAAAGATTTATAGCCTCGGAAGCCCTTACAAAGGTCACTGTGAGTTGGGACAGACTCAATAGCAGTGGGTTTTGGGTCTGTAGTATGATGATCTTAAAGGTGCTTACATTCTTAAATATAAGTAAGAACACACACAAATATACAAGAAAGTGTTACATAGGTAGAATTGTAGATGTATGTAAGGGCACACAGACGAAATGCTCAGTTCTACTTGGCATATTATGGAACGCGTAGGTCAGAAGTTTCAGAAAAGTAGAAGCTTAAGATGAATATTACAAAATGAGGTGGCCAAAAATGATGGTGAAGGTGATAGGAGGGCAACAGGGAATCACTTCAGTTGAAGGGCCCATGGTACATGTCATAGCAGCATTAAGCAGCACACTGTCACAGTGTGTTCAGAGACATTCCACATATGGCTGAAGCAGAGTATAAGCAATTCCTGGCAGTAGCCAGTCATAGAGTGCTCAATATACCAGGCAAAACAGTTTGGGTTTTTCTTTGTCATGGGCAGTATAAGCCATTGACAACCCAATCTGATGTAGCAGGAAGAGAGAATAGAGGGAGCTGGAGGACTGTTTCAATGGACCAGGTGAGAACTGATGAGGTAAATAGCAGTAGAGTGAAAAGTAGAGGGTGACTACCATGTTATTTATTATTCAAACAACACCAGATTCTTAGCACATTTTATTAAAACACATTTGCAAGACAGTCTCTAATGAAATTACTTATGTGAATAATAGAATAATCTGTGATAATTTTATTCTTCTAATTTTATTTTAAGTAAAAGTTTACATTCCTAGAGCATGCCCAATTGCCAAAATGGGAAGCAGAGCAAATGTGTGGGAGTTGTCAGGAAAACACAAAATTACTTTATAATTAAATTTTTTCCCAGACCATCTCTACACATCACTAAAATATAACTGACATCAATAAATTCATAACAATCTTCATTTCAGTGTTTGAGTGCTCCTTAAACTCATTTTAAAGGGAGCCCTAGCGATATAGTGGGTTACGTGTTGGGCTGTGAACTGCAGGGTTAGTGGTTTGAATCCACCAGACATTCCGTGGAGAAAGATGAGGTTTTCTGCTTTCTTACACAATTAGTCTTGGAAATCCTATACAGAGTCACTATAAGTCAGAGTTGACTTGATGGCACACACCACCACCACTAGCAACAAACTCATTTCAAACAACATCATAACTTTTAGCTCCAATTTTCACTATTAAAACAGAAATCATCTCTGAGCACTTGGGATAAAAAGTATAAATAAAAAAGTCAAAAAGCTTTAAGACGATTTCCATTTACTGTCATTTAAATAAAATTGATAGTCAGGCTACTTTGTGAATAGTTATCCCAAATGTACCATAATATTAAAACAACCTGAAAAACACCAACATAAAAATACAGTACTTGTACATGGGAGTTTTCCTGAGAATGGACCCTAACCAGGAAGTTCTGCTTATGTATCACAGTTCTTGGCTTATTTAATTATTTCTGTCTTTCCCACAAGGAACTCTACCAACTTTTCATTTTTGATTTTTGTTATATATTGTTTTATGTTCCACTTAATTTTAGAATCTAATGGGAAATAACTGAGATGTGCCATTAGAATTCAGTATAAAGTAGACATCAGTAAAAGCCAAGTTTTTTGGTAGATGATTGATGGGACAGAGGCTTACTTTAAATTTCTACTTAAAATCACACTCACTGTCAGGCTTGAAATCACAGAAGCATAAGGGTTATAAAGTATCTTGGTATGTGACACTTTTAATTTATTACGCTGTTCATAAGGAAATGGTTTTCCTTCAAGAATCAAAATTTTCATTTATGCATAGAATTAGATTCCAGTACATTTTTAGTTACTGATCTCAAGAAAAGGGAATATAATGTGAATGACAAAAAGTTGCAATTGTTATCCCAAATAAGGTATATATAAAAAAAAAGTTGCATTCAACAAAATTTTCAAAGCAAAAATACATCATTTCAGAGTAAAGTTAGGTTGTCATGTGACACGCTTGGAAGTCAACATCAGTTATATCTGCACACAGTAAATTTTGTTCAATCTATTCTCATGCAGTGCATGCAGCTAAATACAGTTGATGAGAAACAACCTGATTTACAATGCTTAACACTGATAGTTCAGTAAGGTTGAAATAAATATTAACTGTTAATAGGAAAGGTGGTTAGCTGTGGAAAAAGAGGACCTGGCATAGCCATCATGAAGAAGAAATAAAATAATGAAGGAACATACTGAATTACCTCATTATTCTATCACCTATTGTTGTTCCTCTGATAGGAAATCTAGTGAAGGGAACACAATAACTAAAGTCACTCACAAAGACTTTAAAGAATCAAATATTTAAAGCATTAAGGTCATCACTTTTCTCATCATAAAAAGATGTTTTGCTTCCCTTTGTGAGGTAGGGTATATGTCATTAAGTGAGGAATATGTCATTCACTAAATGTTCATGTGGAAATTAAACACACAGAAACCTTTACTGAAGAGAGACTGGAGTGAAGACACTGCACTTAATCCCTTTTACTTTAAAAATAGATTAGACTCTAACCCTTTCAGAGTGTGGGGAACTGCACTGACACAACTGACTCATGAACACCATCCACTAGAACACCTACATTCTACTCCTCAAGGCTAAGCTGCTCTTTGGAAAATAAATAATTAAGCCCTGAGCTGACTCATTTGGCCTAACCATGACACTATATAACAAGCAAACAAGGACTAATAACGGCTTTTAGCTCCTTAGGAGGCCAGTTCTTTCTCTTTGATTATTACTTTCTTCTTTCTGCAATTTTCTGTCACAGAGATTAAAATCATTAGAAATGTTGAAAGAGTGATTAAAAAGTTGACAACAGGTTCTGGAAAATTCCAAATATACATGGAATTTTGGTTTTAAAATGAAGACAATGTTCCACAGAATCCAGAGTAGGTAGAAGGAACAAAAGTTCTATGCAAATATATATATATTTAAAGTGATTAACAGGCAATATAAGATTAATATCCTTAATCTTCAGAAGGGAAAAAAACAAACCACTATGCGAGAACCTTCATTAAAGCTATAATAAAATAAATATTCAAAACGATTTGAGGAGTTTTCAGCAGTCTTACTCAGCTGCTAGTCTTTTTCAGAGAGTGATTCACAGTTTTCCTCTTGTATTTGGCAGTTCACTACAGCTACCAGCCAGGGCACCATACCATTTACTACAAGATGGATTTGGCATTATGAAAACAGTTTATATGAACACCACCTAAACAGAAAACCTGAACACTTGCCAAAGGCAGGCCTGAAGGTACATTTCACTCAAAAGGCACATTCTTATGTCTCTACAATCCAGTATTTTGAAACCTTATCTAAGGGATAAAAATACTAATTTAATTTACTGTTCTTTAAAATAACAAAAGTTAGTATATTTTTTGAATATGTCTTTTAAAACTTATTTTCCATTTAATATTCTTTCCCTACACAAAGTTAAAGGGACTCAAATGTGTGGGTCCAGTTCACAGATTCAAACTTTAGATTTCTGTCAGTAGAGGCATTTTACATGGATCTCTTTAAAACTCCTTTATCATAAAACAGAGATCAGCCAACTATGGCCTGTGGACCAAATGTGGCCAGCTGCCAGAATTTTTTTTTTTTTTTTTTTAATGGTCTACAAGTTAAGAATAGGTTTTATATTTTTAAATAGTTACATTTCAAGTAGTTGTATAAATACCTACATAATAGCTTCTGCTTTGCTTCTTGCCTAACAAAACCTAAAATATTAGCTATCTGGACATGAAAAAAAGTATCTTTTGACCTCTGTTATTGAGAGTTCCAGTTATACTTACATAGAGAGACAAGCTATAGTTAATGAAAAGAGCATTCCGTTTAAAAATATCTATGTTAGTTGTTAAGACCTTTATTTTCCAAGGCATTTCCTTTTCATGCTTGCCCTTAACCCAAAAGTAGAAACCTGGATTGTATTTATTTAACCAAATTGTAAGACTGCAAATCTGCAGTAAAAAATTATTACTTAGCATTGTAAGGAACTTTTTGATATTTTAATTAGATGCATGTTAAAAATTACTTGGCTATTAGCTATTTAGGTTTTATTTTAAGAATTTAACTTGGGGCCAAAAAATTGAGAGCCACTATATAATTCTTGGAAGTCCTAGTATGGTGCTGTAGGATAAGCACCGGACCACAAGGTCGGTTTGAACCAGAAGGTTGGTGGTTCAAATTCACCAATGCTCATAGGAAACTTTGTAACACGGTTGCTATAAGTTGGAAGCCACTTGATGGCACTTAACAACAACAACCAGAATAAACAGTCCTGGTGTGGCACTGTACGATAAGCACTGATCTGCTAACCACAAGGTCGGCAGTTTAAACTCACCGGTCACTCCTCAGAAACCCTATATAAGATTGCTATGAGTCAGAACCGACTCGATTTAACAACAAGAACGTATAATTTTGCATGCTAATTAAAGTATGCATCTGCTTAAGTATATATTTAAGCATAAACTTCTACCATCCTTAATTTTGGATCCATCTCTTTACCAAGCTAATTTTAACTGGGCTTTTCAAGTGACAGCAAGAAGGGACCTTTAATATTTGCACCCTTTGAGTTGTTTAGTGTCGGGCACATTATCACAAATTTTAAGAATCAAATGGTATTACAGATACAATTTTTAAAGTTGAGCTTCTTAATCTTCTGCCCCTTTGGAAGCAGAAAGTCTCAAAAATCACATATCTCATTACAAGTTGGTAAACGATTGTTTTATGTCCTTAAGAAGCAAAATCTCTTAAATGTTCTCTCTTTAGAATGAAAGTCAACATACCTATGCCTCCAAATTTAGAAGACAAACTGACAGTAATTTCAAGGATGAAAAGCCCTTAGAAAGGTGCAGAAGTATTAAAAGTATATTTTATATAAGTAACTCAAGATTAAATCAATATGGTTCTGAGGAAGTCAGGAACTGTAAGAATTATCAGGTAAAGGTCAGAGGATTTTTCTATTTAAAATTTTTGGGTAAGCAGCTAGGAAAAACAACACAAATTTCAAAGAAAAACCTGATATAATGGTGAAATAATCACTATCATCATTTTAGCATCACCTCAGCATGTACATCTTTATTATAGTATTTAATCTGTTTTCCATGTTCTTAAAATGACTTGTGTATTTGTTCTCTCCCCTTCAATAAATTATTAATTTTCTTAAAGGATAACAATTTTACTATTATTCTGTTATTCTTCAGTAAGTCTATTACCATACTGTATTAAAAATATAACAAAAATTAATGGAAAAAAAACTAAGGCTACATATCTACACTGAGTACACAGAATATTCAATGACATTTAGGGGAAAAAACAAGGAAGCAATTTTGGACCCTGAAGTAGATTCAAATCTGGGTCTAATCATGGGAGTATGAATTCAAGAGTACATGCATTAAGAGGGGTCAATTCTAGGTGTGTCTCTGGTCATCTCCCCTCTAAAAAAGTATGCCAGTCTGGCTCATTGCCTGTCTTCTAGGTCAATGAGTATCAGAAGCCATTTCTGTGGCAGACCCAAACTCTTGGAGAACCTCTAAAGGATATAAAGCATTTAAGTATTATGAAAATGATAAATAACAAAGACCTGGAAATATGCTATAGTTTTAGATCTCTCCAAACTAAGGAGACTATACTATTGAAGTTCTGGATTCTCTAGTGCCTCTTTCTTTTCTTGTTGGTGTTATGATACATACATATTCATATATATGTATATATATATGTATATGTGTGTGTATGTATGTATGTATATATACATATGGAGTCCTGGTGTGGCGTGGGTTAATGTGCCAGAATGCAAAGCCATTTGAACTGTGAGGTCGGCGGTCCAAGCTCACCAGGTGCTCATCAGAAAACCTATACAGGGTCACTGTGGATCGGAACTGACTTGATGGCACTTAACAACAACATATATATATAAAAACTTATTAAATAAACAAACCTGGACAGTAATATGCTGCATGTTACTAGAAACTAGATACTTACATTTTGTTTTCAATTATGACCTTGATATGTGTGGCTACTTAATTAAGGGTGAAAAAGCACATATGTTCACTTGATATAAACAGAAGGCCAAAAAGTACATGCTTAAATTAATTATAGTATCTAGCTCTGTACCTCGGGTTTGGAAAACATCAGTCTGGTTTTCACATTATGCTAGTCTGCTTACCTTACATGCATACATCAACTAAGTAATGATACTCTAAGGGAGGCTCTATGTGAATGGAAAGCAATGGAACGAAGTCTGAAATATATTCTGAGAATGCTGAGGATAACATGTGACAGGCTAAGGATATGATGCTCAATCTTGAAGCATAAATACAAAGAAAGGTTATTTATTTCACACTCACAAAGTAAAAAATTTCACATATGACTTAAGGAAGATAGATATGCTTTCATAGTTATGAAAAAGCAGTTTTACTGAACTGCAAACTATATTGTCCAGAATTTTTGTCTTCTGTCAGTCCTTATCTTTACAAACACTCTTTTTGCAATTCCTTTTTAATTTAAAGTAGCTACACAGAGCATCTTGGCTGTCTAATATAGCTATTATTTACATTTACTTAATGCTTTCTATATGAGTCACGCTTGGATAAAGAATTTTTTTAAAAAAATCGTCACAATTCTAGATGTTTAACCAAATTTTATACATGAAGAAACTGAGCCCGTAAGAGATAGTGAGCAAACTAACTAAGTAAGAAAACTCGGCTAGGAAGTGGTGAAATGCAAGTCATTATGCTCTTGGTCACTACACAACATTGCTATTCCTTAATGTTAATCTTTTCATTATATTTTTCAGATGACAGGTCTGCCAGAGTACTTTATAGACAGCAGTATATCAAGCACAGACAAGTTATGACAGAGTTCAAATAGAATTCCACTGTTTAAACAAGGATTTTAAGACAAAACTAGAAAAGGACAGAATTGACAATGAAATATGTTGGATTTAATAGGGACATATTTTTTATAAACATGGAATGCAGCATGTTTTAAATATTTTTTTCTAATAAAAATAAATATATCGTCATGATCACATGGAATGAAAAACGGGAAAATTATATGAACATACTAGCTATATTTTGTTGTTTTAGAGTATCTACTAATTGCTATACTTTTTTATTTCCTAAATTGAGTCAATAAGGTTAGTAGTAATCAGAGAAAAGCATGTTTTCAGAAAGAGAAAAAAATATCACATTACCTTAATCCATGGTTAATAGAACAGTAAAAAAAATAACCAGAACATAAAAAAAAAATACTGTTAAAGGCTGGGTTTTCTAACAGGCAATCTGACAGCTAACTATAACCTGGACTTTACAAATAACCTGTTGCTCTTTTTACAATATTCCTTAGCCTTGATCTGTGAACTGAGGATCAAATCACAGTGCTGGAAATAAGGAGTAATGGAAAATTTTCATTCCCCTCTTGCATAGTTTGCTCAAAGAATACAATATGCTAAATCATTTAGAATTCTGTAAGTTTATATGACATGTCAAAAGAAGCAACGAAATGTCAAAAATGAAGAGACTCCCTTAAGTGACTCTAAACAAAAGCTTGTTAATTATGCTTTTATAATAGTTGATATTAATGAAAAATTCACCCACCTATCACCAGGTCCTGCTCGGTACCTTGCACCTGGGATCAGGACTGGATCATCATCACTGTCATCTGTGTCCTGGAGAGCTGAATCTCTGGCTGATGCTTCTTCGTGAACTAAAGGCCCGATGGCTTCGGTGTGGAACTGAGGCTCAGGATTGGTGGTAGTCTGATGGGCAGTACTCTCAGGGCTAAGATGATCTGAAGGTTCTGGTTCTTTGCCTTTTTCAGATGAAGTAGATTCTTCTGGAACCCCACAAGGGCTATCAAGATTGAGTTCACTCCTTTCTCCTGAGCTGGAATCCAATGGTTCAGATGTAAACTTATCTGATTGTGCTGTCAAAAAATAAAGCAGTAGCAACTGGTCATGTGGGCAACATTAATTATTTCACCTACACAGACTTTGAAAATAGGTAGTTTTCTGATATGAAATCTAATTCCCCTAGAAGGAAAAGAAAATTCCACAACCACATTTATTTGGAAGTGGCATCTGAGACTGGAGCGACTAGCTTAGATTAAGGCTTATCTTCCTTATGAAGCAATTTTCTCAAGCAAGCAAGATTACTCACCTATGTCTACAGGGTTGTCAAGTGTGTTTTCTGCAGATCTAGCTTCCTGATATTTTGCCACATCATCTTCAGATGATGCTTCAGGAGCTTCTGGAAGCAAACCAGATTATCATTATATCAATTTTTTCTTTAGAAAAAATATGTACCAACTTTATATGTTAGCTATCAGGGAAGATATGGACAATTCTGTCCATTGCCTGTACACAAAGTCTATGTATGGACCTTCATAAAATCTATGTGAAGAATTATTTACAGCTGACATTCTTTACAGCTGACATTCTTATTATTCTTTACAGCTAGATTATTCTTTACAGCTGACATTACTGATCTTGCTTTTCTTTTAACATTATCATACATTTGGTATGATCTAATAATGTGCCAGACTGTAAAGCCGTTTGAACTGTAAGGTCGGCAGTTCAAGCTCACCAGCTACTCACTGGAAACCCTATACAGGGTCGCTATGGGTTGGAACCGACTCGACAGCACTTCACAACAACCTATATCAACAGTAAGCTGTCTCTACCATAAATTCTGTTTTGGCCACTGAAAATACTTATTGCTAAGATTGAAGTGCAAGAGTCATGGAGGATCAGTCTTTTTTGCTCTTAATTGGGCATCTGCTTAGCAAAGAATTGCCTTAAATATATTCAAATCTTATCAATCTCTGTTATACTGAGGTATCTATTGATTTGATAAAAAAAGAAAATTCATTAAGAAAATTTTTATAACAAGAGATTGATAAGAATTAATGTAAGACAAGTTTCTGGTAAACAGATGTCCAATTAAGAATAAAAAAATTGTGTATCAAGCATTTATTGAACATCTTTTGTGTTCCAGGTGCTGAGATAGATGCTACAGTTCATAATATGGTCATTTGAAAATATTAGAACAGAATTCTGAGAACTTCCTTAAATTGCATTTCATGTATTTACATATAAGCTTACCCATAAATAAGCTCTTTAGATTTTAGTTATTTCCCCCCAATAATACAATCTTTGGATTGAGACTGATACTCTGGATTGTACTGCGAAGTATGAAAATGGCAAAGATCATGGAAACTACTGCTAACCTGTTATACATACAGAGTGTGAGAATAACCGTGATCACTGGGAGGGAAATTGGGTTGCTTCACCATAATTGCACTTCTTACCCGCTTAAGAAGTCCTGGTATGGCGCTGTGGGTTAATGCACCAGACTGCAAAGCTGTCTGAACTGCAAGGTTGGTGGTTCAGCCGCTCCTTGGAAACCCCATACAGGGTCGCTATGGGTCAGAACTGACTTGATGGCACTTAACATCACCTGCTTAACGTGCCTACATTTGTGGCGCTGCGGGTTAATACACTGGATTGCAAGGTCAGTTTGAACCACAAGGTCAGCAGTTCAAGCTCACCAGCAGCTCCTCAGAAACCCTACACAGCATCGCTATGAGTTGGAACCGACTCAATGGCACTTAACCGCAACAACATTTTCTTATCAGGAGAACTGGAATGGCACTGCAGGACAAGCACTAGACTGATAACCACAAGGATGACTGGTCTAACTCTCCAACTACTCCTTGAAAACCTTACAGAGGGCATTTAACAGCAACAACAACAACTGTCTTATCAACAATAGCAGCTGGACTATGGGGATAAAATTGATTTCTTAGAACAAGAATCAGAAATGCAGAGTCAGAACAGAAAAGCAGGTGAACTTCAACAATGGGGTTCTGTAATTTTAAAAGCAAAATAGCAACTTACTTGTTTCACTATCTCCTTTAGGCGGCTGCACTGAGCTTTGTGAGATCAAGGGTTCCTCCTGGCCTTCAGATTTGCAATGGCTTCCATTTCCTCTAGAACTTGAGGCTGTACTACTCCTAAAACAGAACAAGTTTCCAACAAAAACTTTATCAATATGAAACTTTAGAATAATTTTAACAACTAGAGAAACAGTTCAAAACTTTCAGATTACAAACTACATATGGTTTAATATTTAATAGTACTTGTACTTTTACAAGTACTTGTACAACATCAGGATGACTACTCCTAGTACATTAATCTTAAAAAATATAAAAAGGACTGCTTCCATACTATGTTAATACTTCTATTATCTCTCTCTATATTTCTATATGTTTCTCATTGAATTTTAACTTAGTGTCTCCTTTCGCCTTACTACAAATGTTTCATTAATTCCAAATCTTCATTGGTTTCATAGAATTTGCTCATTTGCCCTCTGATGTCCCAAGCTATTTTTAAATTAATACTTGGACAGAAGCCTGACCATTGCTTTGGTCTTTTGAACTGACCAGCTCTGGCTTGTTGTTCAATTATGACAGGTGATTAGAAGTTATGGTTATATGTACAGGACACGGGTGATGACCATAATTCTGTCAGTATTTATGACAAGAAGCTAAGCCAATTTAAATAGTTTTCAATAAGCATTCTGTGACAAACCATGGCATACGTATAAGAAGGGACTTGAGTGGGAAAGAAAATGGAGGAAAAAGTATAAAAATCTGACTTAGAATAAAATCAGATTTAAGGAAATACAACAATTTATTCAGTCTGGAATAAATATAAGCAGGAGAAAGAAACCTAAAAGAGTTATTTTTATTGCTAAGTGCTGTCAAGCAGGTTCCAACTCAGAGCGACCCTGTATGGATAGGGTTTCCGAGGCGTGGCTGGTGAGCTTGAATTGCTGACCTTCCAATTAGCAGTAATAACTGCTTATCCTACTATGCCACACCTGGACTCCAAAAGACTTATGTTGTTAAGTACCACTGAGTCAGTCCCAACTCAGAGCAACCCTATATAGGGTTTCTGAGGAGTGACTGGTGATGTTGAACTGCCAACCTAAAAGAGTTAGACACCTAAAACACTTTTGTTGTTGTTGTTATGTGCCGTGGAGTCGGTTCCGACTCATAGCGACCCTGTACAGGGTTTCCAAGGCTGTAAATCTTTATGGGAGCAGAAAGCCTCATCTTTCTCCCGCGGAACAGCTGGTAGTTTCGAACTGCTGACCTTGCGGCTCGCAGCCCAATTCGTAACCACTATGCTACCAGAGCTCCTTTAAAAAACACTTTAGTGATAGACAAATAACAGTGCCTCTGAAAAATGCAAATTATCACAGATTTTTTGCCAGCCAATATTTTATAAAAGCCCTTTTAGGCTAATTATAGAAGTTAACCTGGTTTTAGAAAAAGTACATATGCATGCATAATGATAGAACTTTTAATAAGAATGCATCTGTCTATGGGAGTCCTGGTGTGGCACTTCAGGATAATGCACTGTACTGCAAGGTTAGTTTGAACCTCAAGGCCAGCAGTTCAAACCAACCAGCTGCTCCTCATAAACCCTATACAGGGTCGTTATGGGTCGGAACCAACTTGACTGTACTTAACAACAACAACAACATACCTATATGGGTATAAATGCATAGAAAAATACCAGAAAGGCTATGTATCCATGTTAAGTGTCCTCTCAATTGGATTAGTGCACGTGATTTTGTTTCCTCTATATTCTGAATCATTTATTCTTTTTGCAATGAAAATTTCTTTTTCATCAGGAATATATGTCTTTTTTTTGAGCAAGCTCTGATAGATGAATAAATGAAATGTTCAGTGTATAAGTTATGATAAAACTTAGGAATAGAGAGGCATTAGTGGAAAACATCATAATCAAATACAAGTAAGAATTTAGCATTTGCCTTTTTAAATCACAGAGAAATAAGTAAATACATTATTCAATTAAGTGGGATGGAATAAATCTTTAAAAATATGGAAAACCAAAGTGATACAGCTCTATATCATAGTTCATAGTGAAATGATTTCTCAACAGAGTAAATACAAAAGGAGTCTTGAAAAATTCATGGAAAATATATATTACAAAAAAGCTATACATGGATTTAAAAAATTTATTACACCAGCATAATCTTTTACTAACTTACACTAAAATAAACATGCCTGAACAGGATCTAGTTTGAGACATTAAGAAGGATATCACTTTGAAAAGAGGTCCTTATCAGAGCAACAAGAATTTTGCTAATACTGAAGTAAGAACAAACATCACATTTATAGTGATGACCAGGTGGGAGAATGGTGAAATCATTGATGCTTTATGAAAAGTTTATGGGGGAAATGCCTCAAAGAAATCTGCAGTTTACAAATGGATAACTTGTTTTAAGAAGGGATGAAATGATGCCAAAGATGAAGCTTACCAGGGTAGCAGCAGACCATCCACATCAATTTGCATGAAAAGAAAAAAACATGTTCTTTTCCTAACTGAAGAGGATCACTGATTAACAGCACAAACAATAGTCTACATCAAAGACATCTCTTATTGATTGTGTTTGCACAACTGTGACTGAAAAATTAAAGTTGAGCAAACTTCCTTCTTGATGAGTGGCAAAACTGTTGCACCCAGAGGAGCTGCAGACAAAAGCAGAGCTTTCAATGGAAATTTTAAACAACTAGGGTCCAGATCCTACAGTATTTCTTCAAAGAACTATAACATGAGATGAAAAATGGTTTTAACTATACAATCCTAAAGACAAAGCACAATCAAAGCAATGATTACCAAGCGTGGAAGTGGCCCCGTCAAAGCAAAAGCCAATGGTCAAGAGCAAGGTCATGATAGTGATTCTGGGGAATGATGAAAGTATTTTGCTTACTGATTTTCTGGACTACCAAAGAACAGTATCATCTACTTTATTATGAGAACATTTTCAGAATGACAGCCAAAGCTTTAGCAGAAAAATGCCTGGGAAAACTTCACCAGAGAGTCCTCCACCCTGACAATGATCCTGCTCATTCCTCTCATCAAACAAGGGCAGTTTTGCAAGAGTTTCAATGGAATGTCCTTATGCATCCACATTCCTACCCTGATTTGACTCCTTCTTTAAAGGTAGTCATTTTTCTTTTTTTCAGTTGATAACATACAAAAGATTGCAATGGTCTGGTTAAATTCCTCCAGGACCTTCAGTTGTTTAGGGATGGACTCAATGTCTGGTATATTGCTTAGAAGTGTCTTGAACTTGATGGATATTATGTTAAGAAATAAAATTTATTATTTTAACTCTGAATCCCATTTTTTCATGAACTTTTTGAAATCCCTTCATATAATTTTTTATTGCAAATAATAGAAATATAAGAAGAAAATAACAAACTATTCTATTCCTGGGAAGGAGAAGGTTTTTGTGTGAGACCACAGGCAGAAAAATATCATGCAAAATCACTATAAATAAACTAAAAGAGAAATAACTGGGAAAATATTTGCAATAGCATTGTTCTCAACCCCATAGTAAGTAAATAGCTCTTATAAATCAGTAAGAAAAACCCAAATTCACTATACTAGAAAATTGGGCAAAGAAATATTAAAAGGCAATTTATAAAAATTATCATTGTAGCTAACATTTATGTAAAGCCCATCAAGTACTATTTAAGGACTCCTGGTGTGGTGCTGTAGGATCAGCACTGGGCTGCAAACCACAAGGTTGGCAGTTCAAACTCACCAGCTGCTTCGTGGAAACCCTAAACAGGGCGCCTACATGAGTCAGAGTTGACTTGATGACACTTAACAAAAACATGTGCTAATAAATGTGCCAAATGCTATGCATTTTGCATAATTTCATTTTATACGTGAGAAAATATATTTAAAGCAATTCACAGCTTGTCTAGTTAGTTAAGACAAGAGATGGGATTTGAATTCTAGCCTGCCTGATATCAAGCTCTTAGTTGTTGTTAAGTGCCACTGAGTCGGTTCCGATCCACAACAACTCCGTATAGGCTGTAAATCTTGGTTGTTGTTAAGTGCCATCAAATTGGTTCCAACTTATAGCAAGCCTGTACAGGGTTTCCAAGGAGTGACTGGTGAGCTTGAACTGCCAACTTTGCAGTTCAAACTGACCTTGCAGTCCAGTGCATTAACCCACATTGCCATATCCGAAGTCCTGTAAATCTTTACAGAAGCAAAGTCTCATCTTTCTGTGTGAACAGCTGACATTGTGGAAGTTCAAAATCAATTTTCCCAACACCATTTATTGACTCAAATTTCCCATCAAATGGACTTGTCCAATAGCTTTTAATAAGTATCCTCTATTGTCTCATTTATCATCAAAGAAAATAAAAGGAAGATACCATATTGGCAGAAATGAAAAGACTGTATGGCTTTTTGGATTGTTTAGCTTTTTTTTTTTACAATGGCTATTAAATACTTTCACAACCAGCAAAAAATGCTGGTTACTTTTTAAAAAAAACAAAATGCTAAGAAATTGATGAATGAGAGAACATAATGCATGGTTCATTTTAGTGATAGAAAAGACACTCTAAAGAAGAGTGGGACTAACAATTTTTTTTTCTGAAAAATTTTCACATAGGATTCTTTATAAACAAAAATCAGCCCTTTCTGTACAGCAACATGGTAATATACTAGATACAAAAAAAGTATGGTGACCTTCTGTCATCTTAATTAATGCATCAAGAAAAAGGACCATAGAAATCATGATTTTAAAATGTTAATGTCAAACCATAAAGCTCACAAAGAAATCTGATCGAGTGCACCTTCAAATATATATCCCGAATCCAATCATTTCTCATTACCTCCACTGCTCATACTGTGGTCCAAGCCACCATCACCTCTTATGCTTGCTTGCTGCCATAGCCTTTAACTGGTTTCCTGGCTTCTACTTATAGCCTGTTCTCAACATAGCTGAAGACATTCTCCTTATGTATCTGGCTGACTTTATCTGCTACTATGCTTCCCTTTTTTGTGCTGTAGGATAAGTACTGGACTGTTAACCACAAGGTCGGCTAGTCAAACCCACCAGCAGTGCCATGGGAGGAAGATGAAGGTTGCTATGAGTCACAATCAATTCGATTGCAGTGGGTTGGTTTGATGCTTCCATTTGGTCACTTCATTCCAGTTACTTCACGGTCTTCTTAAAGATCCTTGAACATGTTATATCTGTTCCTGATTCAGACCTTTCTCACTGGTTTTCTCTTTGTCTAGAATGCTCTATCTCCACATACATGCATGGCTGACACCTTCTCTTTCTTCAAGTTTTTGCCCAAATGTCACCTTCTCAATGATGCCTACCTACCCTTTCTTGATTGCCCAGTCAGCTTTACCTGCTTTATTTTCCTCCATAGCACTTAGTACCTTCTGACACACTGAACAGTTAACTTATTTTATATCTTTCATATCTTTCTCCTTCACCTAGCATGTAAGTTCTACCAGCAGCAAACCTTTATTGTCTGTTTTGTTCATTGATATATTCCCAATGTCTAGAATAGTCTCTGAAACAAGGAAGGCATTCAATAATATTTTAAAATCTTACATAAGCAACGAGTAAAATCTTACATACATACACACAAGTACAAATGGAAATCAGGAAAAATGGAACAAAATAAACTTTTAATGCTGTCTTACTCAAAAGGCTCTGAAACAGTGAGAAAGAAAATATAAATCTTATATAAATTGATTTAAAAAATAATCTAT